CCTGCTGTATTAATTTGCTAGGGCTGCTGTTACAAATTACCACAGACAGGGTGACCTAAATAACAGAAATTAATCTTCTTGAAATTTTGGGTGTTAGAAGTCTGAGATCAAGGTGTCAGCAGGGTGGATTTCTTCTGTGGTCTCCCTCCTTGGCTTGTAGGAGGCTGTCTTCTCTTTGTGTCTTGACATAATCACTCCTCTGTGTATGTCTGTGTCCTAATTTCCTCTTATTATAAGGACATTAATCATATTGGTTGAAGGCCCATCTTACTGACTTCATTTTACTTCAGTTGTCTCTTTAAAGACTTTGTGTCCAAATATAGCCACATCTTGTTTGTTTGTTTATTATTTTGAGATAAAAACTTAACATGAGATCTATTAACAGATTTTCAGTGTCCAATAAGTTATTATTGCATATAGGCCCAATATTGTAAAACTGAAACTTGATGCCTCCTGATAAATAACTCCCCATTTTGCCCTCCTGCAGTCCCCAGCATTTTGGTCTCTGATTTTTATGAATTTGATTATTTTAGGTACTTCATTTAAGTGGAATCCTGTAGTACTTGCTTATCTTTCTGTGTGTGGCTTAGCTCACTTAGCATAATGTCCTCAAAGTCCATCCCTGTTGTCACATAGTGCACAATTTCCTGTTTTTAAAGCTGAATATTATTTCATTTTATGTTTGTATCTCATTTTCTTTATTTATTCATATGCTGATCACAATTTAGGTTGTTTCCTCATCCTAGCTAATGTGAATAGTGCTGCATTGGACATGTAGTACAAATATATCAGTGAAAACCTGATTTCAATTCATTTGGATATATGCCCAGAAGTGGGATGGTTGGATGATACAGTAGTTCTATTTTTATTTAGTTGAAGAACCCCCATACAGTTTTCTATAGTGGCTGTACCATTTGCATTCCCACTAATAGTATGTAAGAGTTTTATTTTCTGCACATCCTCACCAAAATTTGTTAAGTTCTTGGATTTTTTTTTTTTTGATGATAACTGTCCTAACAGGTGTTGGGTGATATCTCATTGTGGTTTTGATTTGCATTTCCCTTATGGTTAGTGACTAAGCATTTTTTCATATGCCCGTTGGTCATTTGTATGTCTTCTTTGGAAAAATTTCTACTCAAGTCCTTAGCACATTTTAAAATTGGGTCTAAGCTCCAACACTGGTAGGTCAGTTTACTGGGGAGGACCCTCAAAAAAGAGTACTGGATAGGCAAAGCAACCTCTACTTTACCTGGGAGTAAAGCCGGGAGCTGGGAGATCTCCTTCTGACCATGTGACATGGCACCAGGGGAAGCAACTCTAGGAGGAAAGTGTCCTGAATCTCCTTACTGACATCAATAAATCTGCTTTTGTGATTGCCCAGCATTCAAGAGCCTTTCACTTAATTTCTAGATTTCCCATAAAGAGCATTTGTTCATGAATTGTTGCTTAATTGGTCTGTTTGTGGGCAGAAGGATGGTCCAGGGCCTCCTACCCCAGCATCTTTCTGATCTTGCTAATATAGTCACATTCTGAGTTATTGGGGATTAGGACTTTAGCATGAATTTTGGGGAGCACGATTCTGTCCATAACACCTACCCTACATTTCTAATCACATTTAAATATATCCACTCTCTTTTCCCTATCTTACACCTCTCTATAGGATCTGACCTGAATCTGCTTCTGATTTCATCTCAGACCTTGCCCCCCATTAACTCATTATGTTACATACACATCAGCCCTTTTCCTCCAGCATGCCATGTTTGTGCTCACCCTAGGGTCTTTGTACTATCTGTTGCCTTTGTGTGGAATTTTCTGACCATACATCTTAACATGGCTTGTGCCTTTTTCTCATGCAAGACTCTGTTTCTTTGTTTACAGTGTATTCATTTTTAATAATAAGGGTATCACTTGAGAGCTTACTTTGCATAAGGCATTGTGCTAAACATTTATATGTCCTATTTGATAGAAACAACACGCATAGTGGTTGAAAATTTCATAGTTTGGAGCTAGACTGCCTGGGTTCACATCCAGGCTTTGTTACAAACTATGGGAATTCAGGAAAGTTATTTAACTTTTCTCTGCCTCAATTATTTTATCCTCACGGAGACCATTTATCTTTATTCCAAACAATTTGAACCTACAGAAAAGTTACAAGACTGATACAAAGAATCCCCATGTTTCCCTGCCAAGAGATCCCAGTCATGTTGAGTAATTTCACCAGTAACAACTTTTTTTATAGCAAAGGCTCTAATTCAGGATCACATTTCCCCCAAGTTACGTGTCTCTCACCAGTCTCTTTGAATATGGAATAAGTCCTCAGTCTTTCCTAACTTTCCTTGTCTGAGCATTTAAATGATTTCAGGCAGTTATCTCATAGAATGCCCTTGATTTGGGCTTGTTTTGTGCTTCCTCATGATTTGACCCAAGTCAGGACTCAGTTTGAATGTCAAGTTTTCAAGCTTCCACCTAATGTAAAGTATTTGCCTCAGTTACTTTGCAACACGAGATCCTGCCATTTTTCTCTTCTTAGTGTTTTCTTGCATAGTTATTTGTATATTTGTTTGTGTGTGTGTGTGTGTGTGTGTGTGTGTGTGTGTGTGTCAAGTTGGTGGAATATAAAGTTCATAAGGACATTGTGGACTTTAATTTTCTTTTGCAGTGTTGCATCCTAGCACATGTGGTGATTATATCTGCTAGTCACTGTGGTAGGCAGTAGGAATATAATGGGGAACACAAACAGGTGCTCTTTGTTATTCTTAAAAAATAAGTTAGAAAATATAGTTAGATAACTTGCTATTTAGACATTCGGTCAATGCATATTTATTGAACACCTACTATGTTCTGAACCCAAGGGATATGTTATTCTGTGAACAACACAGAAAGTGCTCCTGATCCCCTGAAATTTACATTCCAGAAAGGAAGCAGACAATAATAGGAATAAATAAATATGTAATGGTGTGAGTGGAGAGGATGAACCATCTAGCTCTTATAGATGAAGAGGATTCCAGAAAGAGGAGGAAGTGGGAAGGCCCTGAGTCGGGAATATACTTGGCAAGTCTGAGGATCAACAAGGAGTCCGCTGTGGCTGGAGCAGCATGAGCAGCATGAGTGAGGGTGAAAGTGGGAGGAAATGGGGTCAGTGAGGCAGCCAACGGCCCATCTTGTGTGGCTTTGGATTTGATTCTAATTGTGATGGGAATCCATTAGAGCGTTCAAAGCATGGGAGTGACATAATCCTTTACTGCACAGAGAATTGCTTTATGAACTATTTCCTTTTCAGAGAGCTCCTTAGGGGATTGGCTGAGAATCTGTGATTCTCAAGAAACTTGAAATTTCTGGCTATTTCTTATACATCAGGCCCTGAACTGGTAGCTAGAAATCCTGGAATGTGTTCCCAGATTTGCACATTCCTTTTTGAGGGACCTTGGCTAGGCCAATCTTCCTGGCTTAACAGCACCTCTTCACACTCGTGGATTCAAGAAACCATGAAGAGTGAATAGGAAACAGAGCAGAGCACTTACGGGAATTTTCTGGCTATCTGAAGCCTCAAGTATGAATATGGTATAAATAAATTAGTATGCAGAAAGAGTCTGGCCCTATTCCACAATTAGAAAAAAATCAGTAAGTTCTCTTTTGGAATATTTTCTTAAGGTTTAATGATTAGTGTAGGCTAAATGAGAGGTCAACTTGATTGTGTAGAAAGCAAAAACAATTCCTCAGCTTTGTTTTACCCATAGACACTTTAATGACCCCAAGAGTATCTTACTTAAAATTTCTTTGACTTCCTCACATGATTCGCCTACGGATGAAGCATTTTCTGAATAAATCAATATGCTAGTAATAAAATAATTACTGGGAAGAGTTAGGGAAGGATACTTTAATACCTGAATATAAGTGAAAAATGGAACTCGAAGAGAATTCTGGGAGAAATGGTGTATTCCATTTCTGGAAATAGTGCATTTAGATATTATATTCCTAAATATGTATAGTTTTATTTGATATGGATTGAGATTGGGGTGATCCATTTAAACAGTATGATAGAGGGGCGCCTGGGTGGCGCAGTCGGTTAAACGTCCGACTTCAGCCAGGTCACGATCTCGCAGTCTGTGAGTTTGAGCCCCGCGTCAGGCTCTGGGCTGATGGCTCAGAGCCTGGAGCCTGTTTCCGATTCTGTGTCTCCCTCTCTCTCTGCCCCTCGCCCGTTCATGCTCTGTCTCTCTCTGTCGCAAAAATAAATAAACGTTGAAAAAAAAATTAAAAAAATAAAAACAAACAAACAAACAAACAAACAAACAAAAAAACAGTATGATAGTGAAGAAAATGCAGCCAGGCACGGTCGTTGTGGGAACGATGGTTTAGGTGTTTATCCACAGGTTTTCTGGTTTTCTCAGTTTTGCTTTCTCACGGTAAGGGAAAATCAAGTCTTTCAAGTGCTCAGGGAAAATATAAATAGGACTCTCTGTAGTTTAAAAAAAAAATTCAAAACAGAGTCTGAGTTGTTTTCTACCTGGGCTTAATTTGGGATATATTTGGTGCTTCTTATAAAGGTGTGAAATGGAAGTTTGGGATTTCCTCATAAATGACCTTTTACAGCGACCTTCTGTTATTTTATTTTCTCCTGGGAACTAGAATAGCCATGCAATACATTCCCACTGTGTGAGGTTGAATAAACCTTTCTAATTTAGAATCAGTCACTTGTGAGATCCTAATTAGCATTATGAGTAAAACGTCTATGTTTATTTCTGACCAGTCATGGGATACGCCTGTGTTAAATTCAGTGTAACGTTTTGTTGGCTCTTTCAGTTTGAGAAACTGGTGTCTGATATAAGCATGAAACATCCCCACCCGCGTATTTTTTCTTTTTCTTTTTTAAATTCTGTGTTGGTGGCCTCTGCTCATTTCCCTACCTCTTAATCACTGTTACCTCAGAGCCTAATCATGCCTGGCAGCTAATGTGTACCTTGTGAGCTGACCAAACAAAGGAATGATTCAGAGAGAACTCAGAGAAAAGCAGGTTGGCATTTACACTTTAAACTTAAAAAGCAAACAGCCAGGCAAATTCAGCACGAAAATGGAGTATCCAATGATCCTGGGCTGGAGATGACAGAGCTCTGTTTTGTATTCTTCATTCTCCTGTTAAGTATTCTAGTCTGTATGTGGGCACACATCCTGATTTGGAGAGAAGGAAAATAGGATTGACCTCGGAGAAACCAACCAGTAAAATCTATAGGACTGGACCAAGAGGGCAATCATTTTTAAGTGAAGAATTTAAAAAATATGTAAAATGCAATTAAAATGTGATCTTGGAAGCAGGACTGAATTGTAATTATGGTCGAGTAAATGGATACCCAATGTTCACGTCCTCTTGCCTGGGGATAGACTGTGATCACAGAGAGGGCATGGACTGAACAGAGGACAGAGAAGGCATCTGGAGGAGAAGGAGTTTGTGGTTTGTCACAGCAATGTTCATGGAGAGGCTGCTGCCTCTGCTGAGGGTGTCATTGGTGGGTTTGGCTGTGGGATCCCTGAGATGGTGCTAGACTCATCAGCCTATCAAATCTTAGCAATGCATCCACCGACTCCTTTACTGAATTTCCCCTCCAAGAGACCACGTGTGTATGCTCTGGCTTCCGTGCTGCTTTCTGACAGGGAGTGGTTTTTCTGGTCAGCCACTGTCTTATGCTGGATGGCTTAATGGGTACATTTCTCACCATAAACTAAGAAATTGACATTCTGGCTCCTGTGAGATCATTGAAAGTGAATCTGTCCTAAGAAGCAGATCACTTCAGGAAAGGTTGGCAAAGCTGAGCTTCGGGGGCTGTCAAGCCAAGGACCCGACCCTGGACCCCAACGAGCAACTGGGCCCTTTCTCATCTTACTGCAAAGCGTGAAGAGAGTATAAACACTATAGTGAGATCTAATAAGAATTCATGGGCATCTCTAATCCATCATGGTCAACACTGCATTTGTAATCACTGTACTATTTTGCCTCAATCTTCACTAATGAACACTTAAAAATGGATTTTGGTGATCTAAGGTCTATTTTCTTATGCACGTTTTCATATTTTTCTTTTTGTAACCAATATGGTTAGTGACTTTATGTCTAGGTACAAATCATGACAATTTTAGAGCGAAAATATCTGTAAAAGAGGAAGAATATTCATTGGCTATCCATTGTTCATGAACACCATTTTGGTACTTTACAAAGACAATTCTAAGTCATTTATTTTTGAGCTGGAATTAACACCACAAATAGATATTGTTGTTTCAAAATTTCCTGCAATGGAAGGAGACAGATCATTCTCATACCAGATGCTTCCCATCCCCAGTGGGAATATGCAAGAGGTTTTTATGAGCTAGGCTCCATAAGCACACAGGATAGGAAGCATAGAGTATTATGTTCAAATGAAAACAGAAGAAAAATGCTGGTCTTGGGAATGTTGGAATTGGCCTAGAGGACAAGAGCCAGGCCTCTGCTCCTGTGAAAGGGATCATAAAACCTGTAAGTGAGCAACCTTTATTTTCCAAAACTAGGAAAAAGTTTTTTTTTTTCAAAATGAGAAATGCTAAAGAGCATCAGAACTTTCTCTTCACTCTAATTATTTAGAATGCATGACCTCATGTCTTCATGTACTTACACACCCACACCTAAGTAGTCATAAGGAAGAGAAACTTCAACATCATTTCTCTCGCTAGTGCTATTAGCCTTTGAGGAAATTAATATTTACAATGCTATTAAAAAACAATATAGTATATAGTGACAGTGATGATGGGAAAATATATAACATAAAATAGAATATAATCTTTTCTCTGGGAGGTGGGTAGAGGACAGCTTGCCCTGTGCTATCAGTGCCATTCTAAGAAATCTGAAATTTTTCCTGACAGGAAGCCATCTTTAGAATGTTTTTTAAAATGTTTATTTATTTTTGAGAGAGACAGAGAGAGAGAGAGAGAGACACGCTCGTGTATGCACACGCACACACACACACACACACACACACACACACACACAGTGTGAGTGGGGGAGGGGCAGAGATAGAGGGAGACGCAGAATCTGGAGCAGGTTCCAGGCTCTGAGCTGTCAGCACAAACCTGACATGGGGCTTGAACCCACACAGTGAAATTATGACCTGAGCCAAAGTCGGGAGCTCAACTGACTGAGCCACCCAGGAGCCCTTTAGAATGGTTTTTTTTTTTTTTAATTTTTTTTTTCAACGTGTTTTATTTTATTTTTGGGACAGAGAGAGACAGAGCATGAACGGGGGAGGGGCAGAGAGAGAGAGGGAGACACAGAATGGGAAACAGGCTCCAGGCTCTGAGCCATCAGCCCAGAGCCCGACGCGGGGCTCGAACTCACGGACCGCGAGATCGTGACCTGGCTGAAGTCGGACGCTTAACCGACTGCGCCACCCAGGCGCCCCTAGAATGGTTTTTAACCAGGAAAATTACATAGTCAATAAGTATTCATGAAAAGAATTATGGGAAGGGAAAAAGAGAAAATTCTGGAGTGTTAAGGCAGATAAGAGGGGGAAGAGACTGGCAGGAAAACTAATTAAGATTCTAGTGGAATGGCCCACGTATGAGATGATAACAGGTTGAATAATGACAGTAGGTAAAGGAGAGATGGGGGAACCAGATTTGAAGGAAATTGAGGAGCTCCGTGAACTGTGGGGAGTGACTGGATACCAGGCAAGAAAAAAAGAGGACCACAAAGGGATTCCACAATATTTAGCTTGGGCAAGTTTTATGTGATCATAACATTTACCAGGATAAGAATTCAGAAGAATGAACTCCTTCATACAGATTTTGAATTGGACTGGGGATTCTTTTACAAAGAGTAATTTTTCTGTAAAACACATCCATTGATTTTTATGTTTCAGGGTTCCACAGTGATTTAACTAAGGCTTATATTCTTTACAAGCAGATTTAAAAAAGTATATTCCAAACTGAAATTTGTTAAGTACTCAATACATTCTTGTCAACAAAACAGCATTTTTATCTGTATATTTCTTTTGATTTTACCTCTAAATGATAATCATTTGTAGGACTCCAAATCCATTTGGTTTTTCAGTTCAATCAAAAACTCTTTCTTCTTTCAGCGATGGATATGCACTATATGCACTATTATCTCAGTAGAAGTAGGAGTGAAATTATTTCCATTTTCTAGAAGAAATAGCATAGAACACCAACAATTTTAATGATTATTTAAATATTAAGCCATTCTTTTTGAACTAATCCTAAATTTGGCCTTAGCACTAAACATTATTGGCGCTCATACATTAAAAATACATTTTGTTCATAGTCAGGGAGTGGAATTGTTTCAAAAGCACCTTTGTATGTTCATGAAAAGTAGAAAAATATTCTTCCAACTAATCCATTTTTTTTTTACAAGCCCACACTTGCTTATTGTACAGAACTTAACAAAGATTTAAAGAGGTATTTCCCCCAACAGCATTTTGAAGTATGGGGTTCTTTCCTTTAGGGGGAAAAGAACTCCCTTTTAGATGCAGGATGTGAAAATTAGCATGACCCAAATTGTTTATACAAAAGCAGTCCACACCTCCCTGATTAGGTCAGAGAATTTTGCCTTTACCTGCAGCAGCTGCCTTCTATTAGCACTAGAAACAAACTGTACCATCTATGGTCGCTGAACTGTGAGCACCTTCACATTTTGATTTTTTTTTGTGTTTTGTCCGAGAGGACCCAGAATCCAGAAACTGGGTTGGTGGAGAGGAGCTGTTGCTAGGTATAACTTATCAGAGAATGGTAAGTACAGTGCCTGCCTTAACAGTAAACTGAACTATCAAAATAGCTGCACATTATAAAATGAACATAATGGGGCAGTCAGAGAATGACTCCCGAATTTTTTTTCTTTTCCACTGTAAGAAATAAAGATAAAAACCGTATGGTCTTATCATAGGCAGGGCAATCTCTTCTTTCTCACTTCCTCTATGAGTCACTCATAGCAGCTCCGTGTGGACTTGTTTTGAGTTTTCGTTCAGAGGCTTTGCAAGGTGGTACCTGTAATGGTCGTTCCCACTCTTCTGGGGTTAAGAATGAAAGGTGGCTACGTGTAAGCCTTCAGATTTTGCAGATTTCTCGATGTGTTTTATTGCACCCGGAAGAAATTGTGCATTGTTGAGAAAATACAATGCAAAAACGAGTTGAGACACAATGCCCCTTTATCTGTAAGCAAAACCAGTCTTACTTCTCTAAAGTGGAAATAGAGAGCAGGGAAGTTGTGGGTTCTGAAATCCAACAACCAAGTATCGCTGTGCCACTCTCTCCCCGACCCAGCGCCACTCCTTAACTTGATATCTGTTTACTTTAGAGGAGGCAGTTTTGGAGAAAGGATCATAAATATCCTGGCCCAGTGCCCCAGGAGCCATGACAAGCAAAAGAACATAGTCGCCTAGAGATAGCCCTTGTGATATTTAAATGTGTGGGTTAATTTTTTATCCACTTTAATAACTGGATTATTCCCCTCCACCCCTCCTTTGCTTTCTATTTCTGCTCGGAAGCCGTGGGCACAGAAATCTCTGCAGGCAGATTACTCCTGAGCATATTGCAGGACAATCCTATAACCAACAGATACATTTGCAGCATCTGGATTCCTGATCTTTCTTCGACATGGCAGGTGTGAGTGGCTGTTTAAAATATTCTATGTTTATCTTCAACTTCTTGTTCTGGGTAAGTGTTTTCTTTTTTTCCTAATTATCAATTTTATGCAAGAAAGGGGATCTTGATATCAATAGCACAAATAAGAACAGACTCTGCACTAGAGAAATAGGAGGAGGAAGAAAATGTATTTTCCATTTACTTGTTTGGATTTGTTTGTTCTTTCTTTGGTTATTTCAGTAATTGAAAATGAGCCAGTGACTCAAGAAAGTAGACTTCAGGATCTGCGAGGGTAAACATTTCATAAATGTTTTGATATTGTTGCAAAACAATCACAGAAGAAAAAATACCCTTTAATTAAAGGACAACTATTCTTAGTTGTATATCATATGGGCCTCCCTAGTTTTAAGGACCTTGTGGGAAAAATTTGGTCTGATTCCACCAGAACCCAGCCCCTGAATTCTAATCTTTACATCTGGGTCTGAAACAGGTGAGCGGTGGGTTGTCAGATGATAGACATGAGGAAGGGATCGTTTTCAGAGACCCAAAGAAGAAACAGTGAGTCATAAAATAACTTGAGAGGGAAACAATAAAATTGTTTAATCAAGGACAAATTAAACTTTCATCATGGAAAAAATAAAAATTAAACTTACTAGGTTTATATCAACCACTGAAAGTCAGTATTTTGATTTTGATGTGTCATCACCCCACCTTTTAATCAACAGCGTTGGTATTTTAGCAGGTTCTTAGGTGGTTTTTTTTTTTTTGAAAGCTTATTGACATAAGACAGCAAATAAGTTGGTAAGTAGCATCAAATGTTAAAAAATGGAAAAATAAGATCTGGAAGGCCAAAGGTAAAAGGCAGGCTGGGATGTTGGAAAATTGCCATTATCACTTTTAGTATATATGGTACAGTTAAAGATTGTTCAGAAGTAAATCATTAAAAATAGCCCAAAGTTCTTAAATGAAAAAGTCATTTTGTATACTGAATTAAAAAATGGCTTATGCGGTGTAAGCAGGAGAGAATTCTGGTTTGTTTTTTACCTGGTTACCTTTGGTAAACAGGCAGCTGGTATCTATGTTAGTAAATTTCTGTCCAATTAAAATAATGATGTACCTAATTAATCTCAATTGCAGGAATACAGTCTTATTGTCCAAAATTACTTTCATTCAATGTCAGTAGCCCTAATGACTACAGATGAAATATTGATGAAGTAAGCAAATGAGGATATAAATAAATAAAATAAAATAAAGAAGAAAATTTGTCTTTTACTTCCTCTTTTCCCTAGGAAAAATGGGCTGCTTTTGCAAATATTAAATGTAGGTCATGAGTATATACCGGTTTTTTAAAGTTACTCCAGATTAATTTCTTCCCTTGAAATATTTAAAATTGGTTAAAGCTTGAGAGTAGAAGATAAACAAAGGAATGTCTCTGTACTTTTGATTGGCCTTGTTTGTAGCTTTTTGTTACGGAGAATTTTGAACATTCACAGAACAGAAAAGGATAATCAACCCATCACCCAGCCCCAACAGCCATCATGACAATCCTTCCGGGTGCTCTCATCCACTTTCTCCACCCTATATAAATTGAAGCAAATCCTAGATATTTCACCTATAAATATTTTAATATATATCTCTAAAAGAGAAATAATTCTTTAAAAAATATAACCACAGTGTTAAAATTTAATAAGAATTTCTTAATCGATTATGAAATATCCACCTAGGGTTTAAATTTTTAATTGCTTCATACATATTCTTTGAATCAGAATCTAAATAAGGTTCAGACATTGTGATTGGTTGATATATCCTTTATGTCCATTTTCATCTTTAGGTTCCCCTTCTGTCTTCATCTCTTTCTCCCCACCTTGAAATTTTATGAATTGGTGTCATTGTTTGTGTTATCACATTACCCACAGGCTGGAGTTTGCTATTTACATATCCATGGTATAGTTTATCATGTTCCCCTGTCCTCCGTATTATCTCCAATCTAGTGATGGCATTTGTCACCTTGAAAAGATTCAGGTTGCTATTTGGGTAGGAGCACAACTACTTTATAAGTGACGTTGTGTTCTTTCTTCACACACTCTCTGACCATGTCACATTTTGTGATGTTAGTTGCCACTGATGCTGGAGAACCTAAGAATCAGTCCATTAAGAGTTCCAAACTGGTGATACTCTGTGCTCGCTTCGGCAGCACATATACAAACTGGTGATACTCTATGTCTATCACCTTTTCTTCATTTATTAGCTGGAATATTTTCAATAAAGAGAAACTTGGCATTTACTGATTGGTTACCAGTAGTATCCAGTTTTTATTAAAAAAAAAAGGCAGCATAAAGGCTTCTTACTCTTCAGTTAACAAAATGATGGGTTAATTTGCAGGATCATACAACAGTAATAAGCAAGTATTTCTGTAAGTAGCCTTCTGATATAGTAGATTTAAACTCTATCACCATTCTTATCTTTGTTGATGTGCAATTTGTTTTACCTTTGACCACTGGGGAGTATTTTCAGTGAGACCTTTTGACATGATCTCAACAACATAACTTCTTCCCCATTTGGTATGAAAAGATGTTCCAGGCTTACTTCACTAGTTCCTGCAATATACCTGGAATCGGTTTTTTTTTTTTAATTTTTTAAGGTTTCTTTATTTCTGAAAGAGAGACAGAGTGCGAGCGGGGGAGGGGCAGAGAGAGAGGGAGACACAGAATCTGAAATAGGCTCCAGGCTCTGAGCTGTCAGCACAGAGCCCGACGCGGGGCTCGAACTCACGGACCGGACCGTGAGATCATGACCTGAGCCGAAGTCAGCCGCTTAACTGACTGAGCCACCCAGGCGCCCCTGGAATCAGTTTTTTCTTCAAGAAGTCCTCATATTTGTTTTTAAGAAACTATGACCATTGTCTTTTTATGGTACACGACGTACATGGGCCATTTAAACAACCCAAATGTGAAAATGCTAATAAATGCATGGCTCCTATTTTAATAAGATGTTCCTTAGTAAGATGTTCTAAAGTGCCTAAACTGGTGGCAATCTTCAAATCACGAAATCATTAAAATATATTTGTTGCATAAAAACAGCATATAAATTGCCGGTTGCTATTAGGAATACATCAGAGGTCAATGTTTCATTAAATAGCTAATTGGGAATTTGAAATAGATCTGAATTTTAAATTTTTTTTTTCAACATTTTATTTATTTTTGGGACAGAGAGAGACAGAGCATGAACGGGGGAGGGGCAGAGAGAGAGGGAGACACAGAATTGGAAACAGGCTCCAGGCTCCGAGCCATCAGCCCAGAGCCCGACACGGGGCTCGAACTCCCGGACCGCGAGATCATGACCTGGCTGAAGTCGGACGCCTAACCGACTGCGCCACCCAGGCACCCCTAGATCTGAATTTTAAACTGAAATGATAAAGACACATTAGGAAAGGGGCATGCTATATGTTTAGGATTATATATGTAAGATTAGAGATCTGTACCATGCTGAACCTAGATATTGTCACTGCTTTCCTGGGGACCTCTGATTATTTTA